AAGCTTCTGACCAGTTCTCCCAGCCCCTGCTGCCCTGCAGTCTGGGGATGCCCAGCACAGAACTGGACGCAGGTGGGGAGCAGGGCGCATGGGGTGTCAGGCCCTGCCCTGCCAGCCAAGCCCCTCGTGCCCGGCTCAGCCTCCCTGCTTCTGCAAGGAGCTCTTGACAACACTGCATGGCTGGGGCTGGGGCGGTTTCCAACTGGGGCCAATTCTTGTTCTGCAGCTGCTGCCAGCGTCCTGCTGGCCTCCCACAGCCCAGCCTCACCTCTCGGGTGGAGGCACAACGTGAGGCACCAGGCCTGCGCCAGCCCGGCATCCATCTCTCGGCGCCTCCAAAGGAGAGGGGCCACTGACAAGCTCGGGCCACCCCACTCCCACCTGTTTACCCGGTAGCGGGCTCCCAGCTGCCTCCCCAGGCCTTCCGCTCGGCCGGGTTCCTTAGCTGCAGCCTCCGGGAAGCCGGGTGCTGGGTGAAGACCCCTGCTTCCTGAAGGCCCTGGGCCTCGAGGGCCCACTGGTGTGCAGGCCGGGTTTGGTCAGGGAATGGGGGGGGTCTCGGACGTGAAGCCCTGAGCAGGACGTGCTCCGACAGTGTTCGCTGTGCAGGCTAAGCAAGAACAACCCCATGGCCTCATCTGTAGAATGGGAACGGCCACAGGCTCTATCTCCTACGGATGTTGGAAGAATCCCAAGAGGCAACACTTGAAAGGCCCTCAGACGAGTCTTGGCCCCAGTGATGGCTCAGGGAAGGCTCGCTGCCACCAGGTCCAGGAAACACCCACCCCTACCGTGTGGGTCCCTACTCAGGGCCTGGGTAGGTAGAGAAGCAGCAGAAGCTGTGTGACAGGAAAGAGCAGGAGGGCGCACTGGTGTCAGGATGGCCAGGAGGTGGGCCCCATGGGGGCCAGAGTGGGCCAGTCACTCTGAGAACAGGGAGCCAGAGAAAATTCTGGAAAGGCTGAGCCCTCCCCTCACTCTGGGCTCCCACACTCCAGAATCTGGATGTTCGTGGGATCACAGACTTAGTGTTTTCCAGGCATGGGTGGGCTAGGTGAAGCTCTCTACCCTTCCTCCCTCCCCACTCACCTCTCTTTTGGGCCACATCACGGGCCTAAACAAACTGACCAAGTCACACATGCTGTGGGAATGAGTCAAATAGTAAGGGGGTGACAAGGAAAAAGTAAATAATCTCTCTTCAGACTTGTTTTTCGGAGGCCAACCATGTGTATCTTCCCACATCTTTGTCTGTATGCACACCTACACACGTACACGTTTGTGAGGTTCCCCCCAATTTTTAAACATTTTAAAAATTATTTATCTATTTTTTAAAAGATTTTATTTATTCATGAGATATATGGAGAGAGGCAGGGACACAGGCAGAGGGAGAAGCAAGGTTCCCTATGGGGAGCCCGATGCGGGACTCGATCCTGGGACCCCGGGATCATGACCTGAGCCAAAGGCAGATGCTCAACCACTGAGCCACCCAGGTGCTCCCTCCATCAATTACTTTTTAATTGAACATTTTATTTGCAGGTAATGATACCTTTACGGGCAGTTGTAGGAAATAATACATGTTCCCTCCCCCCAGTTTTCCCTCAATGGTAACATCTTGCAAAATTATAGAATCACAACAGGATGCTGTCACGGCCAAAGTCAAGATATAGAACATTTCCACCAGCTGGAGGACCCTTCCTGTTTTTGAGTCACACCCACGTTCCTCTTGCCTCCTCCTTGACCCTCCTTGACCCAGGGCGACCACTAAGCTGTTCTCCATTTGTGCACAATTGTCATTTCAAGGATGTTCTTTCTATAAATGGAATCGTACAGCATATAAGCCTTGGGTTTGGCTCTTTTCACCCAGCATCACTCTCTTAAGATTCATCCACATTATTACGTGTATAAACTGTTTCTTTTTATTGCCCAGGATTACGCCACTGCATGGGGTGTACCATGGTTTGTGACGTCAGATTCTAAGAAGCAATTACGCCTGTGATGTCCAGCTATTTCTGATAATGTTGTTGTGTATGTTCACCTACAAGTTTTGGGGTGAATCTAAGTTTGCATTTCTCTGAGATAAATCCCCAGGAGTGCAACTGCTGAGTCATACGATAGGTTAGTTTTACAAGAGATTGATAAACCTGATTTCAAGGATGCCCATTTTTTGAATGGAATTATACAATGCCCTTCAATCCATAACCTGTTTTTTTTTTCTTTCATTTAACGGTATGCGCAATACGGTGAAAACAGAGAGGGAGACAAACCATGAGAGATGCTGATCTCTAGAAAACAAACTGAGGGTTGTTGGAGGGGAGAGGGGCGGGGAGACGGGGTGACTGGGTGACAGGCATTAAGGAGGGCACGTGATGGAATGAGCACTGGGTGTTCTATGCAACTGATAAATCACTGAGCTCTACCTCTGAAACTAATAAAAAAAATACACTTAGAATCTTAAGCAATCTGTACAATTATCCTTCCAGGTTTCTACCTATAGATTTAACTAAAAAAACCCCAAAACCCTTTTGTCTATTTGTAACAAAAAATAAGTTGATACTAATCCAACAGTTGCTAGAACCCCTAGGGAGAAACAGCCTAAAGTCTAGGACAAGAAGGCTTGCTCCAGCACTGATAACGTGAAAGGAAAATATGCATTGGCAGAAATGAGGGAAGAAAAATATTTATATATTCAATCTGAAAATAAAACTCGGGTTTTGAACTGTTAGCTTGCATATGGATACCTTTGCTCCAAATGCTCCTTGCATATGTTTTGCTAACCTCCACTCTACATTTAGGAGAGAGATTTTATATTTAATGGAAATTGTAAGTAGAGCTCACACTGACATATCGACTGTTTTTGAAAACCCATTGTTCTTAGTGACTGCCTAGCCATCCAGAGTTATGGTTTATCAATTCAACTATACCCCCAAAAAAATCCCTTCCTTGGGGCTGTGTGCACACACTGTAGATCCCACAGAGTACAGTTATGCTCAAAGATACATTGAATCATGCATGCAGTGGTGCACTGACCCCTTTCTCTTTCCTTTCTCCCCTCCCTCCACATCAAGCTCTTACGCACAGACATGCATGGACATTGTTGTGGCCTGGATTATGTCCCCCTGAAAGATGTACTGAAGGCCTAACCCCTGGTACCTGTGAATGTGACTGTATTTAGAACTAGGGTCTTAAAGAGGTCACATTGAATTCAGGTGGGTCCTGAATCCAGTGACTGGTGTCCTGATGCTAAAAAAAAAAAAAAAGGGGGAAATGTGGACACAAACACACACAAGCGAGAAGGCCACGTGGAGACAGAAGGAGATACCGCAGTGACGCGTCTACAAACCGAGAGATGCCAAGGGTTGCCCGCAACCACCTAAAGCCAGGGAGAGGCAAGGAAGGATCCTACCAGAGTCTCAGAGGGAGCATGGCCCTGCTGACGCCTTGCTTTTGGAGTTTTGGCCTGCACAACCCTGAGGCAAAGCATGTCTGTCGTTCCCAGCCACCGGTTTGTGACAACGTGTCACGGCGGTCCTAGGAGCTCAGACACGTGTTGTGCTGTGTGTGGGAGAAGATGCCATGGGTGGAGTGCAGCCCTACAGGAAGGAGAAGGTGTCCTGCTCGAGACTGTGTTTTGTTGTCCTGCTCCTCGGTCCAGTACGAGAGCCTGTAGGCAAAGGCTAAGGAGTCAGGTTTCCATCCCCTGTCGTCAGAGTGTGCTGGAAGGAGACTCACGCGGTCTCTCAGGCTCAGGCGTCCAAAGCAACTTTGCAGCCATCTGGCACATGTCCCCATCAAGGCCCTGAATCCTCTCCTGATTATCTCCCATTTTGGTAACTGCCAGCCACGGGGACCTCATTACCTCCCCAAGGCGTTCCATTTTTAAACAGCTCTAACTCTGAAGTTCCCAAGAACTTAAAAAACTCCATAAAACTCTATCCACGGTGCTACACATGATCCCTGGGAATAAAAGAATCTCTATCATGCGCGGACCCTTCGAGTCATTGAAGAGAAGAATTGTGTCTGACAGGATGGAAGCAAAAAGCTACTTTTCCAGTTGCCCAGGATTTGCAGGTGAGGCCCAAAGCTGAGGACAAAGGATGGCCTACAGCTGCCGACAGTTGAGACCAGCCCACTCCCCTTGCAGGCCTCATCAACAGGCAGGAAGCCTGACCCCCATCCCCATCAGCCCTAGTCTAAAGAAAGGGGGGCTGTGAAGAAGGCACCATTGTTTTTGGTGCATGGAGAGTGAAAGAGGTTGCTCCCTTCCCCTAGAGTCAAGGATTTGGGTATTTCCCTTAAATGAATGCCTTCTCTGGGTCAAACATCTTCAATTCCTTTAGTCTTTTCTTTATTGATGGTTCCAAGAGACTACTCTAGCCTAGCTCCTTTCTTTGGGTCAGCTTCCAACTCTCAGTGCCCAGAAACACAGCTTCCACCACCAAACCCAACGTTTCAGAGCACAGCGGGGCTGTTCCCTCCTCTCCTCTGGACTCTATGCTTCTGTTAATGGGACCTGGTGTCAACTCCGGCTCTCAGGAGTTCTTCTCAAGAGCTGGCTCACCTTCCCCAACTTGCTTTTGTTGAATGGAGTGTTTATTCCTAGGGACTTCACATTTATCCCTGTCAAATTTAATTTTGTTAGTGTTGGCCCAAGGCATTTGATAGGGAGAAAATTACTGGCTGATGTGAGAGGTAAGAGAGAAAGCCATTTCCAATCCACTTCACGTCCTCTCTCTCTCCACGAACAGGCTATTTGCCACGTTATCTATTAAGTGATATTTAGGGTGGTTAATTATGAGATCCTGGACAGGCCACATTGCAGGAATACTGAGGCATTCCTGAGGTCACTGGCCTGTGATGACTCAATCAATCCTTCCTGAGGGTCAGGAAACCATTGGTGTGAAGAGACTTTGTTCATCACATGGGCCCAGGCAAGTTATTTCATCTATAAAACTCAGGAACTGGGCCGGAGGGAGCCTCTCCTACTCTAAGACTCGAGGACTATTTTGTGCAGAAAAGATAAGAGTGCGTGCATATGTTAACACAGCCATTCGTCTACGTCCATCATAGACCGCTTTTGTTAAAGGTATTTGTAAAGGCATAGGAAACATCTGGAAAGAAAGAACCTTAAAAATGTGCAGCGTTTAACTTCTGGGTGATAGGGTTATGAGCGAATTAACATTTTCTTCTTTACATTTTCTTCTGAAATTTTTTTTGCAGGGTCTGAAAATGAAGCAGTAGGGCTTTACCAAAAGAAAGCAAAGCACCGGTGACTTTGATTTTAGCAAATATGTGATGGTCCTTCTGGAATGACCACGAGTGCGCTCGGATGTGGCTGAGCTGGTGAGTGGGGTGTGGAACCGGGTGGGGGGGGGGTGCGAGCATTGTGGACGGCGTTGTAGCCTCTCGTGGGTGAGCGTCCCCTCTGTGCTGTGCTGCTCATGCCCGGGTTGTGCCCCTCTATGCCGTCGGGGTGGGCAGCCCCCCACGACTTGGGGGGGTGTTGGGAGGTTATGGGGAGGTAGGACTTTCCAGGCTACCACCAGGAAAGCCCCCGCAAAGCGAGAGGAGTCGGTCGCTGCGTGGGTCATCTCAGGAGGGCCAGCCTCTGACATAAGCCCCCATGATGGGCCACTTCAGAGGTCTATTGTCATTAGGAGAATCCTAGAGAAGGGACTTAGAGGGTGACAACATGGTGATCATTCATGTACTCCTCCATCGTGTGCAAAGCATTTCCGTAAGTATGACTTCATTCGACCCTCACAAACTTTAATTGCAGCAACCAACACCTCCCGAGAGCACAGACACCCTTTGCCCCACCTCATACCTCTGCCCCCTTCTTGCTCCAGCCAGTCACCCGTGCGGCGGCCAGCTCCGCGCAGGTGGCACCTGCCGATACCTCCATTCAGCTGTACCAACTATTTCTGGCTTTTGGCCCAGGGCACTGGGTAGGTTGCCCCAGGGGAGCCGCACTGCGTACCCATGCATGGAGTGGGGAGATTGAGGGATGAGGGTAACCTTTGAGCTGGTGGATGGAAGCTGCTGGATGAATGTGCCCATCCTCCCTCCCGGGGGTCCTACTTCTGGGGACGGGTTCCAAGAGCACGGAGCCAAGTGATGGTCTGCTCAGCCATGCCCCTGCCACTGGCTTTCCCTCTGTCTTGGTTTCCCTCTCCCCAGCCCCCACCCCTCCGCCCCTGCCACCGTGTCCGCTCCCTAGGACGGCCACCCAAGATGAGCCACCTGCATGCAAGCCCGGGGCTCAGGCGACAGTGGGAAAGGTAAGTGCTGAGGCCGTTCGGTGCATCAGCCCATCTCATCTTTGCAGTGACGCTCCTCTGCAGAGGGAAGGAAGGCGCTCAGAGATGTTGGAAGGCCTGCCCCACGGGCCGCACTGCAGAGGTCCACCTCGGAAAGACGGGGCATTCGGCCTTCACAGGAAAGTTCTTTGCTCCATTTTAAAGAAGAGGCTCGCGGGATGCCTGGGGTGCAGGTGGCAGAGCCGTGGCGCCCGGAATCCATCCGCTTGACATCTTAAGAAGCTCGGAGAAGTAACTGTGAGTATCATCTGGGGTGGCGATCGGGGCCGGAAGCCAGGGGAAGGGATCAGAGGTGCTTTAGATTTTAGGCTCTTGTCCTGAAGTTCTGGCGGAGGTCAAAGCTGAGGTCAGGGTCGGGGGAGCTCAAGTGGGGGGCCCACATCTGGGAACAGACGCCGCCCTGCAGGGGCTGCTCGGGCACATGGCAGCCCAACGTCCTCGTCCCCGCCATCCCCGCCCTCCCGGGTCTAGAGAGCGATGGAAAAGCCGAGAGGAGGCCCAGCTGCTGATGGAGGAGGTGAGGGTGAGACCCGCCCGTGTCCCTAAACATTCCAGCAGATTCATCTAAATCATCTTGGAAAGCAATCGTGCGTCTCTTTTTCTAAACAGCTACCAATCGACTTTATGATCATTTGAAGCGGCTGTCTCCTAACTCGTCCAAATTAAGGAGGTTTCGCGGGACTGTACGCCGCGGTGAGCTGGGTCATCATATGCTGGTCACCGCCTGGTCCAAGGGTCAAAGGGACCAAGCCCTGATCTGGGGGTGGGGCATGTGGGAGAAGCTTGGAGGGAGCCCGCGTCTCCCAGTCCTGGTGCCGACTACCCACCAGGACTGCGTCTCCTCCAGCATCTCCCCAGAGCTGCTCATCTGTCAGGGAAGGGCGAAAACAGCTTGTAGGGCTGGGCGGTTGTATGCTTCCAGGAGGATACAGGTCTTTCTAGAAAGGACTCAGAACCTTGTGAGCAAGTGGAGAACCGAGGGGCAACAAGGCTTTGGCCAGGCTGATGGGTGGGGCGGTCGGAAGAGGATTAGCCTCATGGTAGGAATAGCAGCCAGGATTTACTTAGCACCTACTATGTGCCAGGCTCTATTGTAAGCACCTGTCACTTGTTTTTATTTATTTTAAAGATATTTATTTATTTGAGAGGAAGGGGCAGGTAGAGAGCATGACGGGGGAGCAGCAGGGAGAGGGAGAGGGAGGGGAGAAGCAGGCTCCCTACTCAGCAGGGAGCCCGACATGGGGCTGCATCTCAGGACTTCGGGACCATGACCTGAGCCGAAGGCAGACACTTAACCGACAAGGCACCCCGGCTCCTGTCACTTATTAACTCACTTCACCTTCCTATTAATCCTGTGAGGTAGATAGGATGACTAATACCATTTGCTACTAAGTGTCCTAGCCAGGATTCGAACCAGGCCACCCAGGTTCAGCGTCCGAGCCCTCACCTCCCTCACTTTGGAGGCAGAAAGATGCGGCGCATTCTCAGAGCTACAAGTGGTTCTGATGGGTTAGAGCGCGACGCGGACCCGGCGCTGGCGGTGTGCCGGCCATCTCCGCGCCTCTCGGCTCTGGGGGCACCACCTCGGTTTCCACCTTCGGCCTCACACGGGGTTCTCCCTGTGGGTGGCTCTGCCTCCGAATTTCCCCTTTTCATGGGGGCAGCAGTCCTATGGTTTCGGGCCCACCCTCAGGATCGCATTTTCACTTTGCAGATTAGCTCTGCAAAGGCCCTACCTCCAAATAAGGTCACATGCTAAGGTACTGGGGTTAGGGCTTCGACATAAGAATTTGAGGGGGGCCCCAAAGGCAGAGCGAGGGTCACAGGCCCTGGCCAGTGCTCTGGCACCCACCAGCAAACCACTTCCACACTTCTCCTACCCCTCCAGCCCTCCGCTCTGCCCCCACCTCCTGCTTTTATAATCCTCCCTCTGAGTTCCCCTCGTGATCCCTCCGCCTCCACGCCCATCTCCAGAGAAGCCTCCTGGTAACTGTGCTTTCCCACTTGGCACGCTCCGGTGTCCTCCCACGGGCTGGCCTCCCTCCAGCTGCAGCGAGGCGGGCTGTTGGGGAACCACTCTCTGGGCTCCCGAAGAGGAACTCCAGGCTTGAGGAGGCAGCGTGGGCTGGGCTGGACTCTCCTGGGGGTGTCCCAGTTCCCTGGCTCGTGAGCCACGCTCCGGGAGACCCTGTCACAGCGACTTGCATTTAGGGAGCACCTGCTGCGTCCTGGGTGCTGGGCGCTCAGACACAGCAGAGTATCTGCTGGGCCTAAAAACTCGTGTCCTCTTCCTACTGGATGCAAGGCCACCCCGTATGTCTCAGCTTCCTCTGCACTGAGAGGCAGTAGTGCGACCAAGTTGGTGAATGGAGCACGAGCGGAGGTGCTGTGCACCCTTTCTGGACAAAGTGGGTGCGCGCCCTCCAGCCCCATGCCCCCTCCCTCACCAGCCACAGGGAAGGGTGGCAGGAAGGGCCCGAGTCCCTGGATCAGACTATGCAGGGACGGTGCCCGCTAAGAGGACGGTCTGCTTCGAACTCTTCCATGAGTAATAAATCCACTTCTATTAAGTTTAAGACACTACACATTGGAGTGGGTCTCTGTTCCAGCAATAATAATACAGGAAGAGAAGGAGGCAGATGTGGCCTTTGCCTTTCTGGAGCTTTCCAGTTAACACAGTCAATTATGACTGCGTGGAGAGGTCTGAAGGAGGAGTCCGGAGCTCCAGAGAGCACTTCTGTGAGGACCTGACCTGGGTTGCCGGGTGGAAGTCGGGAAAGCTTCTCCACGTCTGGAAAACGGACAAATATTTTTTTATGACTTTTCAGAGCCAGAGTGAGGCCCAGTGAGCCCCGTGTTGGTCACAGCACTTTGAGAAGGATAAATCCTGATGACATTGTGAGGGCGAATATATCGTTTCTGGGCGATGCCTTCAGACCGGACCAGAGCCTTCCGTGTCCTCTCCGTGGCCGTGGGGATTTGGAGCCTGGGCAGCCTCCTTGGGCATCGAGACACCTGCCACCAGTGCTGGGGCACGTTTCATGTGTGCTCTTCCCTTCTTCGGGTTGCCCTAGGTTAGAGGCATCGAGGTGTCTCCTTGTGCTTAAAGGATCTGTTTGGGGTCTTTCCTTTGACAGAGACATGGTTCATCCGTTTGACCCTTAGCCTGTCTGTCCGTCCTTCCTTTCTTTTTCTTTTATTTTTAGATTGATTGATTTATTTTAGAGAGGTGGGCGGGGGGGAGACAGATGAAGAAGGAGAGTCCCAAGCAGACTCCACGCTGGGCACAAAGCTTGACGTGGGGCTCGACCTCATGACCCTGATATCACGATCTGAGCCGAAACCAAGAGTTGGACATTTAACTGACTGGGCCACGCGGGCATCCCATGCCCATCCTTCTTTTAAGTCAGTATCATTGATTGATGCCAGGCGCTGTTGTTGCCCAAAGACATTGGTCCAGTGGGGCATGAACTTACAGCCCAGTTGGGGAGATGAATAGGTACCCATCACCTTAAAACAAGCAAGCCAGTGACACATGTCATGAGGGAAGCAGGGGGTTCGTGGAGTTTCAAAGAATGAGGGAGAAGTGCTGGATGGGGTGTCTGGGACAGGGAGTGAGTTTCTGGAAGAAAGCACTCATGGCGAGGAGAGATAGAGGCTGAGAAAGGTGTGCGGGGCTGCCACCACCGAGCTGCCTGCATCACCCTGTAAGGGGACTGGATTTAGTGCCATTGGCTCCGAGGTGCCATCGTGAGCTTTCCTGCGGCTGGAACAGTCTCCTCGTGACTAATGCAGGGAGCCCTCGTCCCCAGAGGCTGTGCATGGCTGTGAGTCTATTCCCAGCCCGGCTGGGTGTCGGTTGACCTGTTAGGTCTGTGGCCCTGCCCGGGGGCCCCTGGGGGGTCTTGTTTTCATCTCAGAGGAGCCCAGCTGCCTGGGAGACTGCAGGCTCTGCTCCCCCAGGATTAACAAGCGCCCCTTCATCGCGCCCCTCACATTGAAGCGCCTTGTGAGGAGGGACGCATCTAAACTCTGGCTCAGAGTCGCAGCTTCCTGCAGCTGCCAGAGGGCCGTGGCAGTCTCCGTGTGGCTGCTGCCAGGAGCGTGGGGTGGGGAGGCCAGCGGGGGGCCTGGGACTCGGCCTGCCTCACCCCTCGTCCACTGTCAGTCGCAAGGAGGGTGCCACATTGAGGAGCGACAGGTGCCAACAGCAAAGAATCGCTTCTACAGCGACCTGGACCCCAGGCCTCCTCCCTCAACTCGCTTCTGCATAACCAGATGGTGGTGTGGGGCTCTATCTCCAAGACGCCTCCTCCCTCTAGCAGTCTAGGTGAGCTACGGGGTCCGAAAGGGTGATTCTCTTGACTAGGAGAGCCCTAGTGGAGCATTTGGGGGAGATGTCACTCTTGTCATCAGCAAGAAAGAAAGATGGCACCTGTTTCAATGGAGCTAGACTCTGGTTCAGTGTCTGCTAGGGTTCTGGCTCAAGCTCCTTCCCCCAGGTAGTGGGATTCCCAGAGAGCACTCTATTTCTGCCCCCAAACTCTGTCTCTATACACCCAGGACCTGGAGAGTAAAGTTACTCTGGTAAACTGAGGCAGCTCTCCAAGACCTGGATTCTAAGGCTCATGTCTTGCACAGCTGGGCAGTGACGCGGATGGGGGGAGATGGGGAGAGGAAGGGTGAACCACGTGCCCGGCCCGAAGCCCATCCCGAGGTTCTGATGTATCTCTGGAGTGCACCTGCGGGGAGCCCCTTTCTCCAGGTCCCTCTGGCCCCTCACAGAGTCCTTCCCAGTGGCCACTTTGGATGTCCCCAGCCAGGAATCCTGGGCGCACAGCTGGCCCAAGGGCTGGACCAGTCAGAAGCTCTCTTGGGGGTTTGGATTTGGGATCAGAAACAGAGGAGAGAGACCCAGGGGCTAAGGGACACGGGGGAGTTCACGAACAGGGTGATCTCAGAGGTCCCGTTAAACTCCCTCAATCCCTCGGGCCCTCCGCACCCCACAGAGTCCTCTTTTGGGATCTAACCAGAAAAAGTTAGTTTCTGTGCCTGCAACCAGGAGAACCGCACACCCCAATCAATCACACCTTCATCAGGAGGAAGAGATTACAAGCCAGTTTTTGTGGGCTCGGAAGCCCGGCCCATACGGCATATTTGGGACAAGTGTGCAATCCTTTTACAA